AGATAAGTAGAAAAAGAAAGGAGATGATTAGAACAGAAAATAATTAACGCATAAGTAAAGATAATAAAAAAGTAGAAAAATCAGAAAAAAGGTGAAAAGAAGAAGTACTTATTTGAGTGCAGTATGCATGCAACAGACAATTATGCAGCCAAATCAATGTGACTGTCGTCGAGTTGTCTGAAGGCATCGTTAACGATAATTTGACCTGTTTAGTTGAAGTGAAATAATGGAAGCCTGGAAGCCTGCAGAACAGTGCAATAATGGTGATGAAAGCGCACAATTCGACAGATTTTTAGAAAAACATAAGGCGCCAAAAAAGCAGAAGTGGTGTAGGAGACTATATCTTTGTAATCGTCGCGATATCTTCCACATGACTGTACCATTCGCCATCGTCTCAACTCTTCATTGAGAATTGTACAAACTTGACAAGGCCTTCTTAACACACCCACTTTTGAGTGTGTGCGTCGGCTGAGACTGTTTTTGAGCCCAATAACACCTTGTCGAGATGGTTTTCTAGCCTACAATCCACTTTCCACTACTATCCTCGAAGTCCATAGGTTCATCTTATTTTTGGAGGAAATTTTCACAAATCTTTTCTCTCATGGGAAGCGCCATTAAACCGAAGCTACGGTCACTTCCGAAATTGTTTTTCATAGTTTTGTGGAACCATGATAAATTTTACCTTTCGGTGAGGAATCCTGGAAAATGGAAAGGACAGTGTTACAAAAGTCAATGAGAGTGGGCAGCTGAAACAAAAAAGCATTAGACAGCTAACACAAGTATCAGAATGATGAACGAATCGTTCATCCTGGGTTGTGGAGCAATAAGATTCCTGATTGTTTCTACGTATATAGTTAACAATTCCTGAAACGGATAGCTCTGCTTGGAGAGTCCAATAACGGCTTCCAAATTCAAATGATTGGAACAGATATTGGTATGAGTAATGAAGGTCTATGAGAGTAAGAAGGTCAACTGGCGGAAAACTTCAGAAAAGCAGGACAAACACAAATATAGATTGGCGAGCTGGTGAGGACCATTTTTTATGGATCAGGCAAGAAATCCGACAGCTGAGCCGAATTGTATACTGTCGACTGGGGTTGCACGCATTACACTCCATGCTTCCGTACCCTCTTGAGGTCCAACGACGCAGCGCCCTTCATGATAGAGATAGTGCAGAGCATTCTCGTCGTCAAGATCAAATAATCCTATCTAATCGATCATGTTTGTCCCCCGTGACAATTTCCACGAGACGAAAATTACCTGAGTTGATTCTTCTCCAATAAAAATAAGATCTGTAGAAACGGCTGTCGCAAAACGGCAGAATAATCGCAGAAGGCATCTCTGCAGTATTCCGCCGTAATACGATCATGCACTACCGTGATAGGACGATAATTATGTACTTGAATTGGTCGAAACTCGAGAGGATTTTTCATCCACCACCATTCATCTTGTTTATGCCATTTCAATGCCAATCATTCGTAGGCTACAGAAAACCTCCGCCTCATTATCAGAGCTTCAGTATTCGACCAGTCCTCACATCGAGCACCGGGGCACCCTGAACAGAGTAGCAGGCTGGTTTCATCTGCTTGTTAGCATTTTCCGATTTGTGATGGCAACCCAAATGTCTTAGTTTTATGGGACGATTATGATCACACAGGCATGGCATACACGACAGTCATGCAGCCTGCAGTGAGAAGCCGACTTACCTCACTGCCTTCTTTTAAAGCCTTACATCTCGATATGCATATTCTTGATAAAGCTCATATCTCTTTCAACTCTTGCAGTCCTTAATATAAACTACCTTTACGTTGCGTTGGAAAAAAATCTTCGAAATTTAAAGGGGGCCCTACGCAAAGACACAGAAGACGTCGAAGTTCCCTTCTATAACTTCTCACCATGCTGACTGCACAACACTTCATTCTACACATCCTCATTGCCTATAAGAAGAAGCAGCTTGCAAAAGCCATGTGATCGAGGAAAGGGTGAAACAAAGCAGGTTTGCAAATAGTCACACCTTTTCTAAGTATTATGGCTTCTTCCTTGCAATCAAAACTTAGCAATATCCTTTGTTTTAGCATCGAAGATCACACTACTGATTTTACCGAGACAATCACATATCCCGTTCAAAAATCTACACAAGATAGTGCTACTTTTTCATAAACAGCAGTCCTTAGTGGCACGAGTTTGACTGTAGGAAAAACATAATAGAGATTCTAGAATATGACACAACCAACTCTTCAGAAAGAAGGAATGTTGGCGGATGAAAGGACTCGGAAGCTTCCACATTGGTGGTGGTGCGCGGCTATGTAGCACAGACAAGAATGCGACAAAAGACAGCTGCAGTTCGCAAACAACTTTATCAATAATGATGAGGAGTCAATTCCGTCAACAACATGATCGTCACGGTCGATATTGTGATCGAAAGGGCATATAAACAAACGGTGAAAAAGTGCGCTCAATGATCAATGCGATTTTAGGGAATGAGCCACGAGGTTGAGCTGCAGCTAGGCACGCCAATGAGCAGCCAGAGGTTCATTCAGGTTACTGCTTGAGGAAAATACGGAAGCCAAAGTAGAGAGCAAAGCCAAGTAGGGATGGTATGCATACTTCCTGCAAACTTGACATATTGAGAAAACACCCGTTCACAGGCGGCACACTTATATGCTGTGTTTGAAAAGTTTCCTTGCACGTGAAATTTGCATAGTAGACAGTTTTGAAAAGGATGCCTTAGCAGATTGCAACTGAACAAAATCAGAATTTGGTACGAGTTCATATACATTTGTGTTTCTTTTTCCTACGCAGAATAAAATTTGCTGATATTGTGTAATAAAGCAACGTTTCGCCTATGGATCGTACACGTAATGTATCACTGCCGTGCTCTTCAAATCTTTCAGATTGATCCCTCCTCTGTCACAAAGTTAGACTGTTTTCAAAGAATTTTGAAGGTAGGTTGTTCTTGGAAAGAAATGTTTTCAGAAATTTTGAACACAGCGCGTTCATTTGAGGAAACTTCACAACTCAGCAACTTAACCTTCTTTTATGAATTGTGAGAACATATTTTCTTGGTTCTCACAAGTCAAGCGTGATTCACCTAAGCCCACTGTGATGACATTCTTTCTGAAATTGAGACGTTTCTCGTAAATTCGGATACGCCTACGATGACAACTCCTGAAAATTAAGGCTTGCTACAGCTCATGCTTTGGAGCGTCAGGAAATGTAGCAAATCGTGGCAAAACACACCTACTGCAGTTAGACGTCGTATGTCAGGAGGTTTTACAGTCTGAGGGTTCAAAAAGACGTCCAACAATAAAGTTTTTTAAATATCCCTAGTTCTTTTAGCTGTTCGACCGCGTGCTACTTTCTGAACTGGAAGACAATTTTTTGAAAATAATGAAGGAATTACGCAGTTTGCTATTCCACGGGAAACGACGCGAATGGATACTTGCCCATGTTGTAGACTCCTGAAGAGATACCTACCTCAACTTTGAATCCATAGCACATAAGGGTCTACAACAAAGTTGGGTATGATTGCATAGAGGGCTCATTCTTCTTGCTTTAAAAAAGTGCTACGTGTCTATTGGTGTACTTGTTTATTTGTTTGCATTCGTGTCTACGGGTGTGTTTCCAAAAAAATTCCTAAATCCTTTTACTTTGAGCTCACGGGTAGACTTATAGGTAAGATGAAGGTTTATCATGAAGGGTGAGAATGCTGGTGACAAGTGACGGAAAGTGATAGCAGTTGATATGGAATGATAACAGGTTAAGCAGAAAGGCTTAGTGGGCTCATTGTGCTCGTGGTGTCAGCAGTCAATCCTCGTAGTTTCGCACGCAGTGTGACGTGATCATAAATAGATCGAGGATCTCATTGTCACGGGCAAGTGACTGATTCCTATGTACGTTCAACCTACAACGGATGGCAGGCTTGGATTGCCTATGAAGGTTTAAGCCCTTCTTCCAGTTCCCTAATTATGTGACTGCTAACACCCAATCTTCGCTCTAATTTCTCAACTTACTGTTACAAACACTGTCGTGAAGGGTAAGAAGGCCCTCACTCAGTCTGGAGGAAAAAATGTCAGGCTAGAGCAGATCCCAGAAAATTCAATACATTAGATCACAGGAAGCACCTTATTATGCGAAACGGCGACATATGTACATGGCGATATGTGTACAACGGCGTGTCCCAAATATGAGTGTTAAACTTTAAGAACTTTTGGCAATTTCTATTTTTTCAGTTTCGTCTCACTGTTATTCAATAATTGCACACGCACATTGCATTTTTTTTGCAATCTGCATAATTATTGAGGTAAGACCCTTTGACGTCTGGGAGGCCAATCCTGCCATATTTCATCGAGAACGACTCAGTTATCCCCTTACCATCCGGATCGCTGAATTCTTTGACCTTCGGAAGATCCATGGCAGTCAGTGCTGTTCCCACCCCACTATCAACTCGGGAACTCATTTCGCTATAATCTGGAGACCGAGCTCTTTGGTGGTTGTCTCGCGTTGGCGTGGGTGGCACCAAAGCTTGGTGGAGCTGGTTCTCGACAGGTTCCTCTGTAATGAATCTTGTCGGTTAGACTGCCTTTCATCCGTAAGAAGGCCTTGGTTCGATAACTGCCTTGAGCTGCCCTGACAGCATCAAACTCAATAGGTGGTAGTGCCGCGACTGACGATATGTCATTATCACTGAGCAAACGAAATGTTCTGCGAAATTCATTTTGCTGCGACTCGCTGTGATCTGTCTCCATTGGAGTCGTATGCTCCGCGGACCTAGGAGCCTGTAAAAGATACGTTTGTGCGGATTTAGGGATGTCGAAAAGCAGTGGGTTCCTAGATGGCAAGAGCTTCCGACCAGTTTGGGCCTGTTCGATACCCATTGTCTGGATCGGTTCGACCAGATTACCTACGGCTCTAACCACCTCGGTGGACCTCACTTTCAACATCTTCGATAGTACGCGCATGCATTTGTCATCATGCAGTGCTTGTTCGAATACAATTTCTCACTCTTCGCTGTGTTTTGCATGTGCCTCTGATGCCTTTTGCACAACCCCGTCCGCTAACTCATTAATGCGGTCCAGCAACTTCCTTATCACCTTACACTCCGGTTCTAGCAATCTATGTAGTCCCTTTTCCAGATCCTCTGGTGAGGTGATTTCCCCATCACCTAATATGATTGCTATGCTTTTCGGCGTCTCTTGCAATTTTGTCAATCTTGGCACGCAGTGCGTAACTGTAGACCGCACCTGCTGCTGGTTCTGTTGCGTTAGCTCTAGGACTTGTGCTCTGAGCTGTGCCAATTCTTGCTGCACTTCGTCCATTTTGGTGTCCAGCGCAACGTCTTCTTCCATCAGCCGTTCCAGTTCGTCTGACATAGTTTCGCTCTGGAACAGGTCCCATTCCAGTTTAGCCAAAGGTAAGCTACTGATTCGATGCTACCTTTTCAGTATCGAATTCTACCCTCTGAGTTCTGATGGAACAGTTGAGGTTGTTTCAGTGGTCCTGCAAAGAAAACAACTTTTTTGGCGCAGCGGTCTGCCTTGCAAAAACCTTTTCTTCTGTCCCACAGGGTGCACTGACGGATCTCTGCACAGTGCAACTTGTAGGGGCTGTCCGTCTAGCAGCTTTGTCGAGCCCGCCGCTCTATAACGGCTCTACGGCTCGCTAGAGGCTTTTCAGAAGCTTGGGGACTCCCCCGCTTCTCACTGCCCTAAACCTACCTTATTGTTTGAGCCGAATCGGTTCGGCCCCCATGTAACGGAGCCTCGGGTGCTCCGGTGTGTGTGAGTGCAACTGGTAGTCGAGCTAGAAGTTAAACTCTCAATTTATTGGACGTATCGGTACAATAAGATACCGGTAGGGCGCTGCTCCAGTGGCAAGAAATTGTGGAAGTACAATCCTCCTAATACATAGAAGAACCCACAAAGTGACAAAACTAATACCTATATAGGAGTACTGAGAGCGCCTAAAGTTCTGATCGCGCGGGAGTAAATGTCAAATAAGTTGATCAGAAAGGTGATCAATAGACAAGGGTTAACATGTGTAGATCACCAGTTCCGACGTCTGTTCTGAAGTCCATCCTCTACAAAAGGATCATAAGCCAAAAAGGGAGTCACAGCACCTCACCACTCTGGTTTCCAGACAACAAAAATGCCAAACTACTTCTTGGTCAAAAACTGCTTAAAAGGCCTGAAAATGTGAATCAGAGGAAGCGAGCTCAAAGTCATAAGAAGGATCAGGAACGGTTTCCTGACAAAATAAGTATAACCTGAGCTGCATGGTTTTTGCAACGTGAGGTCAAGCGTCATCATAAAGAAGATAGACTGAAGCCCTCGTAGTATTTTTTCTTCAACTATGTGAAAAAGCTCTCTTAGGTGACTACAGCAGATCGTTGTCGTGAATGTTTGTTGTTAAAGAAGCAACCTCTGGTACAATGTTCAATTCTAATCGCAAATCCAACTAAGCCTTCCTGGGATGGTGTTCTAGCTTGGGCTACAGTTGTTACCAGATTCTCTTGATTAGGAACGACTGCCGGAAACGTAGATGGTCTGTAAATCGTGCGAGTTCCATCGAGAACAGCTTTCTTGCAACCGTTTTGTCGAAGTATCCAACGAAGGTTTCTAAGAAATGAGCTTTGCTTATTCTTTGCTTGTAACCTTTGGTTTCCCTCATCGCTTCGGGAAGAATCCTACTATATATAACGCGCTAAGTGTGTCTGTTGGTTTGTCTGTGTGTGTGTGTGTGTTTGACCGGAAATTCATAACTCGGGTTCCCGTTGACCCAGAGAGTTCAAATTTGGTAGGGGTACAGGCGGCAGGATAGGAACCTAATGGTGGGTGGCGGGGCCGGACTCCGCCCACAGGGGGCGGGGTTTGTGCGAAAT